TTTCTATCAAATTATAATGTATTTCATTTATTGTATTTTTATTTCATTCACCACCCTCTATCAAAGCAATCTCTTGGTATTCTTTTATCCATTTTTAATATTTCTTCACATCCACATTTATAAAAACATCCTTCTCTAAATGATGTAATTGATGATGGTATATTAATTGATATTAATGAATAACATTCATAAAAACAACAATTTCCTATTTCATTAATTGATGATGGTATATTAATTGATGTTAACGAATCACAGTATTTAAAACATTCATCTCCTAATTTACTAATTGATGATGGTATATTAATTGATGTTAATGATGAACATCTTCTAAAACAACAATTTCCTAATTCATTAATTGATGATGGTATATTAATTGATGTTAATGATGTACATTCATCAAAACAAAAATCACCTAATTTACTAATTGATGATGGGATATTAATTGATTTTAATGATAAACATCCACAAAAACAACAATTTCCTAATTCGTTAATTGATGATGGAATAGTAACTGATGTTAACGAATAACATCTACAAAAACATGCATCTCCTATTTCATTAATTGTTGCTGGTATATTAATTGATGTCAATGAATAACATTCTCTAAAACAACCATCTCCTATTTTACTTATTGAAGATGGAATAATAAATTCATTAATAACTTTATTTTCAATATTCTTTCCATTGATTATTTGTATATTTTCTGGTATTTTAATACTAATTAACACTGGTTCATTCATAAATATTCTTTCTTTACTGATAAATTGTAGATTATCTACACACACCGATGTTAATAATGAACATTCATAAAAACAATAATCTCCTATTTCACTAACAGATGATGGTATATTAATTGATTTTAATGATGAACATTCTTTAAAACAACAATATCCTAATTTACTGATTGAAGATGGTATAGTAACTGATGTTAATAATGAACATTGTCTAAAACAATCATTTCCTAATTCAATGATTGATGATGATAAATTAATTGATGTTAATGATCTACATTTATAAAAACAACCATATCCTAATTTACTAATTGATGATGGAATAATAAATTCATTAATAACTTTATTTTCAATATTCTTTCCATTGATTATTTGTAGATTATATGGTATTTCAGTACTAATTAACACTGGTTCATTCATAAATATTCTTTCTTTACTGATAAATTGTAGATTATCTATATTAATTGATTTTAATGATGAACATCCTGAAAAACATCCATATCCTATAAAACTAACAGATGATGGTATATTAATTGATTTTAATGATGAACATCCTTTAAAACAATCAGCTCCTATTTCATTAATTGATGATGGTATATTAATTGATTTTAATGAATAACATTCATCAAAACATTTATATCCAAGTGATTTAACTTCTGATGGTATTGTATTTCCATATGTATTTCTATCTTCTTTTGTATATTCTATATTTTACAGATATTTCCTTGTTTTTCTCTTTAAATATGTTGAATATATACTTTATACATATACTGTTAATATCTCCATCTTAAATCTCATCAGTATATATAATATGAATGTTCATATA